GAAACCCGCGGAGTGTGTTCGTCAACAGGTGTTTATGGAGCTCTGCTGTGCCGGGAGGACCCAGGTACTGTGCCGGGAGGACCGGTGGCCCCGGAGGGCCTCGGGACCAGACGTGGGTCCCCCATCGCCCCTGCATACCCAGAGGCCCCAGGGCGGCGAGGCCATGAAAACCGAGGGGCCCCCTGTCGCCCCCCGCTTCCCTGTGCCCCAGGGCCCAGAGGGCTGTATTAAGCCCATTTCTCAGAAGTTGAACCTGGCGCACAGCCAGGAAGTGGTCTGCTGGCTCGAAACTGGAGCAGCCCTGGTGTCACATCCCCCTTTTAGGCTGAGACTCCCAGGGGGAGAAGCAGAAGCCCCAGCCAGACCGAAGTGGGTGACACAGTCCCACTCCGGGGGCTCCCATTCCAGGGAGAGGCTCCCTAGGCCCAGAGAGCCACAAAGTGCAGACAGACCCAGGGAGAGCCTTCTGTGGGGGCCGCTGGAGTGGGCGGTGGGTCAGGACACCCCTCCCAGGGCGGGCAGCCTGAGTGGCCTGGGGACAGGCTCAGGGTGAGCAGCCCACTCAGGACTGGAGCCGGCACTGCCAAACTGGGTTTCAGGCCAGCTCCACCACTCACTGGCTCTGTGACCGTAGGTCTTAGTTTCTGTCCATGAAGTGGACAAAATGAGATAGTCATGGCTTGGCTAGCACTTGTAACTCAGTTCTGGGGTCTGCTGGGAGGCAGGTGGTCCAACACATTCACTGTGAAGTTGTTAAACGATCCATAGCCAGGGAGCCACAGATTCATGAACTCTTAGTGCTCTTAATGCCACTGTGGGCATGAGGGAGCGCTATTGACCACACACCCAAATTCCCCAATGAAAGCCTGGCTCCCACAGGGTGGAATTCCTCCAAAGAGAGAGCAAGCTGCTTATTTGCCCTTGTGTCAGTTTTCCCATCTGTTTAATGGGTATGACTATAGTCCCCACCTCCTAGAAATGAGGCAGAGGTCAAATGTGTCAATATATGTAAAGCCCATAAAACTTTTCCTAGAACAAAGTAAGCGCTCAAGAGAGTTTTTTCTTATTTTTGAGTGTCTGCCTTGTGTCAGAAATAGGCTGGAGATTAGGGATGAATGGTTATTTAAGGCCTGGTCTTTGAAGGACCAATGATAGAAAAGACTGATGTTCAAGTACCAGGGTGTGTGGAGGCTCAGGGGACAGTGGGATCAAGAGGAGAGGCTTCTCCACCCAACCTGGGGAGCTGTGGAAGGTATTTGGGGTGTTGTAAGCAAAAGGATGTGATGAAACTGGAAGAGCAATCCAGGCAGAAGGAACAGAGCATGTGAGGACCCTGAGGCAAAATAGTTTTCCAAGGAGTTGGTGCTCTGGATCTGAAGTGTTGAGTTGGAGGTGTTGTGCCACATCCTGGAAGGACAGGTGGTGGCCTAATCATGCAGGGCCTCGTAAATCATGGTAGAGTCTGGCAGTAATAATATGATGGCTGCTATTTATTGCCTATCTACCACAAACCAGGGAATGGACCAAGTGTTTGACATATATCATGTCATTTAATACACATGTGGTTAGAAGGTAGGCACTTTTGTGTTCCCATTTTACATGTGAAGAAACTGAGGCATGGAGCACTCATTAATTGCTCAAGGGCTAGCTCTTGGGTTTCCCTGACTCCGAGTCCCTTGCTCTCATCCTCTATATTACTAGTGTTCAGTCTTAGGGGAACATCAGAGTCACCTGCAGGATTTGTTAAGCACAAACCGCTGGGTCTAGCCCTGAGTGTCTGCTCCAGTACAGTTGGGGGCTGAGACCTGGGAATTTGCATTCCTAACAGGTTCCCCAGTGAGGCAGCTGCTGCTGGTCCAAGGACCACCTTTGAAAGCCACTGCCCATACAGTCCTCAGCTACTCAGTAGCCTCAGGTGTGAAATGGACAGAATACAGCCTGAGTCTCAGGGTGTCATTGGGGACAGATGGGAGGGAAAAGAGGTCTGCTGGAGTGAAGAACTGGCTGAAAGGTCGTGACCCCTCTGTTTCCCCTCCTGCCAACCCTTGCTCTGCCGCAGGCCTAGATGATTCCCTGCAGGACTATCCCTTTGAAGACTGGGAGCTGCCTGGCAAGTACCTGCTCCAGCTCTGTCCCCGCAGCCTTGAGGCTCTGACCGTGTCACCTCTGGGACATCAGGAGCTCATTCTGGATGGGGTGGAACAGCTCCGGGCCCTGGTGAGCGAACTATGGCCACACTGATGGCAGGTCTGCCAACTGAGGGGGGTGCTACTGCCGCAGCAGTGACCTGGCCCTTTCTGGCACAGAGCTCTGGGCTGCTGACAGAGAACCTGCAGACCCTGACAGAGCGGCTGCTGGAGGGGACCCAGGCCCTCCAGAGCTTAGTCCAAGGCCGCCTGGGGGACTGTGCTGAGACCCCTGCGGATGTGCTCAGCGCAGCTGTGGAGCTGGTGCGTGACGCCCGTGTGCTCCTCTTCTGGCTCAACAGGTACCCGGGTTGGGGTGACTGGTAAGAGGACCCTTCTCATCCTTGGCTTGCTGCAGGACCTGGGAGAGAAGAACAGGCTGGCTCTGTTCAGACATGGCAGAGCAGTTAGCCTGTCTGGGCAGGGGCGCTGACCACCTGGGTTCCCATCCCGCCCACTTGTTATCACAACAGTCTTATCAACAGCCATTAAATGAAGAGTTCCCTGTCCCCTTCAATAGCTGCTGCTGCTTGTCCTGTAGGTCTTACCTCAAATGTCACCTCCTCTGGGACTCTTTCCCTGTCAGTCATTCTCAGAGCTCTACATCTCGGGTACTCATTACAGTCAGAGTTAAATCATTATTGACATAATGACAGGTTTACTGTCCATCTCCCCAGTGCCTAGAACAGGGGCTGCATGACAAATAAGTCCTGTGCTGACCTCTCTGGATATATCAGTTATCTCCTTTATTCCAAAGCAACACTCATCAGGGCAGGAGCTGTGTATGCTCCCCAAGTCTCAGATGAGAAATTGGCTCCAAGTGGCCCAGCACCGCCCCCTGAGCCCCTGTGCCATTCTTCCCCTGCCAGGTACCTCTTCTCCCACTTAAATGACTTCTCGGCCTGCCAGGAGATCGGGGCCTTGTGCGGGGAGCTGAGCCAGGTCTTGCAGGAGGTAGGAGGACAGGGGCCAGGCTTGGCCCAGCCCCGAGACCAGACCAGGCCAGAGCTTTTTATAACCTGTGAATCAGACCAGATTGGGTATGAGAGCAGGGGCAAGAGCGCAGGAGAAGAGGAGGCCCTGCCACTGGGTATGGGGCAGCAGGAGTATGGGGGTCTCCTTGCTGGCAGAGAAGCTCAGGGCCCTAAAGCCCAAGAAGGGGGGGGGGAGGGAAAAAGGTTGGGGAACTTTGGGGGCCTGGTGTCAGGGGGATGAGACCTTGGGGTTGAGATTTTGAGGCCCTATAGGTCTGGGAAGAAGGCCAGAATAGGGGAAGCCGGGAGGGACAGGAGGGGCCTGCCCTTGTCCTCAGGAGAAGGCAGTCCCCCTCCCCCATGACCCTTACACTCCTCTCTCTGCTTCTAGGACTTCCCAGAGGCCGAGAAGGAAAGGAGAGTCCTGAGGATCGTGAGTCTGGGGGGTGCCTGTGGAGTGCGGAGGGAGCAGGGTGGGCTGCGATCAAGCTCAGCCTCACAACCTGCTCCCTTCCCCAGTGCAGCCAAGTGGCCGAGATCTGCCGCAGCATCCTGAGCTGCAGCCCAGAAGAGCTGCTGGAGCAGAGGGCTGTGCTGGAGCAGGTGCAGCTGGAAGAGCCTTCGGTGAGCCCTGCCCTGTCACCTGTCACTTCTGAGCCCTTGACACGTTGGGCCCTGAAATGGGGTCTAGGATCCCCAGCCTCCTATACTGGTAGCTGGAAACCTGTCAGGTACAGATGTTAAAACAGAGGTCCAGACAACCTACCTGGGATCTCACCATCACCCAGCACCTTCCCCAGTCCTGAGGGGCTGCATGGCACGGTCCCAGGTGGCATGTTCCTGTGTTCTGTGACGCAGACCTGGCAGAGGCTCAGGGGCAGGTTAGGATAGAGGGGAGAGGACATGAACTTTTCTGCTTTAATCCTAACCAGTTGGGAAAATCAGAGCCCCCAGCCCTGCCCCTCTCCCACCCCATCCCTCTCTCTCCCTTCAAGAAAGTTGCCGAGAATCTAGTACCTCAGAAAGCAGTGACCCCAGCTTCCTCCTGGCCCTTTATCAGAGGGTGAAACAGAGGACCAGAGAGGAGCAACAAGCCCAAAGTGACACAGCAAGTTGGAGCAGTATGCTCTTGGGGCCAGCTCTGTCCCCAGTTCCACCCACCTTAGAATCAAGCCCTCAATGACCCTAGCCTCTGCCTCTTCAGGGCGTGGAAATCTACACCACCAGTAACTGCTTACACTTTGTGTCCCGAGTGTGCGCCCAGGTGAGAGCACCCCCACCCTGCCAGCTACCCGGCCCTGAGGCCTCTCACCTGCGGCCACGCCAGCTCCAGGCCCCAGGAAAGCTCACTCCTGGGCCCCCATCTCCATTCCAGGTCCCCACTGACTCCTGCCGGCAGGTCCTGCCTGGAGATGAGGTTGTTCAGATCAACGAGCAGGTGGTGGTGAGCGAGGGGAGGGGGCTGTGTGGAGGGGAGGGGGCTAGTGAGGAAACCCAGGGCTGGGGGGGAGCAGTGGGGGTGCTGTCCCTTGAGGGGAGCAGGGTTGTGGGAGTTGCTCTCTGCGAGATGACCCAGCTCTGGAAGGTCAGGACTGGATCCTAGGTGACAGCCCCACCCACTTTTCAGCTGATCCTTCCCCAGGCGGTCTCCCCTGCCTCTGAGGAGCCACCAAGGTGAAGGGCTCCTGGTGGCTTCCTGGAGGCTTCGTGAGGTGAGGCAGAAGCAGGAAGCTCACAGCTCCAAGCGCGAAGGCAGGGGTTGTTGGGCTGCATCAGAGCTCCTGCCCAGCTTGATGCCAACCCAGTGCCTCTGCCCCTCCCTGCACCCCTGTCCCCTAGGTGGGCTGGCCCCACAAGAACATGCTGAGGGAGCTGCTACGGGAGCCAGCCGGGGTCAGCTTAGTGCTGAAGAAGATCCCTGTGCCGGAGACACCCCCCCAGGTACCTGTCCCCATCCACCCCCACCTGCTTTCAGACCCCTGTTGTCAGCCCGGTCACCCTGCTTCTGGTTGTTCCCCAGACGCCTTTGGACTCCCCACACCTGAGAAGCCAGTCGCTGGCTCTGGCCCCACTGTCTCCCAGGTAACAGATCTGCCCTGGGTGTGTCTTCGTGGGGGGGACCATGGACGCATCTCATCTCCCCTTGCTCTCCCCAGAGCCCCATCTGAAGACGTCTTTGCCTTTGACCTGACTTCAGACCCAAGTCCGGAGCCCACCACTGCCTGGACAGGTAGTTTCAAACCCCACCAGGTAGTGGATGCCCCTGGCAAGGTGTCCGAGTACCCGACTCTGACCCTAGATGCTGACACCCTCCCTGCCCCCTCCCTGACAGATTCTACCTCCCTTGACCCTGAGCCCCTGCCCAGCCCCCCTGCACTCCCAGCAGGAATAGCAGAGACCCCAGGCCCCTCGGGACACCCTGACAAGGTGAGCTCAGCGGATCCGCAAGGAGGGATGTGGGCTGAGGGCCTAGACCCTTTTCTAACCCCTATGTGGTCCTTTTAGAGTCCTGTCCTTGGTCGGAAGAAATCAAAAGGTACGAGTGTCCCTGACCGGGTGGCATATTGTATCCCTGAAATGAGGAGCTGGGCAAGACCTCCCCTCATGCTTCCCACCCAGCCTGTCCTGGAAACAGCTCTTTTCTGGGGTCACACAGACCTGTGCTCCCAGCCCAGACCTCTGTGCCTTTGAACAAATGGCTTATTCTCTGATTTCCAGTTTCCTCATCTCTAAAATGGAGAGTCGTCCCCACCTCAGCAGAATTGTGCCCCCAAAGTGTGGGTTCATATATCTCGGGGATGCTCATGGCGGGCAAGGGAACCAGTTTGGGGGCTGGAATTCTTTGCCAGCCCCTCACCACCTGGGCTGTGCCACGCTGCTTGCAGGGGTGGCGACGAGGCTGAGCCGCCGGCGGGTGTCCTGCCGGGAGCTGGGCCAGCCAGACTGTGATGGCTGGCTCCTGCTGCGCAAGGCCCCTGGCGGCTTCATGGGTCCACGCTGGCGCCGCTGCTGGTTTGTGCTTAAGGGACACATGCTCTACTGGTACCAGCAGCCCCAGGTGAGACACCACACACACCGGCATAGGTAGCAAGCAAGTCATCTGCTCCCATTGTCACAGGTGGCCCCCAGGCCTTCCCAGGTCCCAGTGTTCCCAACAGCAGAACAGGGACGATTTCTCCCAAAATGAGTTAATAAGTGTGTAAAAGCAGTTTGAAAGATCTGGGGGTGGGCTCCCGTGTACTCCAGGCAGTGTAGGAAATGTGCTGAGATGTTTGCCCAAGAGATACGTGGGAGCCCAGCAGAGGTGTCCAGTCCAGCCTGAAGGAGTCCAGAAGCTTCTCTGAGAAAATAATACCTGGGAGTTAGTCAGATGAAAGGGGAAAAGAAAACTGGGAAGGGACCAAGCATTTGCTGAGCCCAGGGCAATGAAGCAGCTGTGTGTTCCTGTGGGAACCAGTGCAGGAGGGTTCCTCTTTCTTAGGTGTTTCTCTTGGTACCTTTGTTCTTCTTTTCTGGCTCAGAGGCACCATTTGGCTACATCTCCTTCCCTGAGGCCCAGAAACCTAGAGACTTGCAATTAGAGCCCAGAAAACACACTCTCCCTTCTATCTCCCTGAGCAGTCTGAGGGGTGACTAAGGAGCTGCCTGGAGGGTTTTGGGGCCCCACACTGACCCTCTGTGTGATTCC